GTAATTGTTGTGCATGCTCCTGTGATATGATGTATGGTCTCGGGTTGGGTATAACATTGACGGCATTTATTATTTGCAACAGCAACATAACATTTATCAGATTTTCCTGTAAATTTTGGTTGGTATTGATTATCTGATCCTGTATTACGATTAGAAAACTTTCGGTTTCTCGGAACAGGCTGTCTTAAGCCATTTACAGTTCATGTCTTTGCGAGGTCATGAGGTTGTCGTCCATGCAGAACATTTTTTTCTACTTCAGTATTTCACCTTCTGTCTCTGGATCATTTTTGATATCATAATTACGTCGTGTTTTGCTCGTGTTGGTTAAAAGGGGTGTAGTTCCTGTTGTTGTAACAATGGCTTTGTAAGTAGTACCTGTAGTAGATATTGTGATTAAAAATAGTTATAATTACCAAGTTTTTATTTCTGCTAAAGGTTATGAATCCAATCCCACCATATTGTCGTTTGATGGTTAGTTATTCTATTGAAGATTTAGAATGTTATGTTTTGTAAGTGTTTGATAACCTGAAATTATTGTTAGTTTTGAATCGCGTAGGTGTTAATCGCCTTGATCAAATTTTTACTCGTAAACTGTGTACACACACTGCATTCACTCTATTCTAGAGTGCTATTCTATTCTAGAGAGCCATATAAATAAATATGTAATGTGAAGCTTTTAGTCAATAAAAATATTTTTTATTTTTTTATTTTATTTTATTTTTATTCTTGTATTCCGTGCTCAACGTGTTTTCAATTGTTATGTTGTCTAAACCTTGCAATTTTTTTAACCTAAATCTTTATACAAACCTTCCGGTTACAATGCGGTTACAATGTGGTCACCTAAATTAATTTTCCCTCTTATTATGTTTTGGACTTATTTAGTCCATGCTTCATGATTGTTAAATTGTGCAATATTGACAATTCAACAGTATAGAGCCTGCGACCTGATTGTTCTGTTTCTATATCAGTTTGTGATATTTTAATCCACTGAGTCCAATGTGCTAATGCAACTTGTTTGTAAGCCAAAGCTTTTTATCAAACCCCAATGCAAGTCCAGTGGTTTCTTCCGCTAATATTTTATCTTTGACAACTTGAAGCTTCAGGTATTTCACTGGGGTCTAGGAATGCCAAAGCAAATAAATGCCTAATTCGATGTGCAATTGTCATTTCCATACATTTTGGCTAAGCCCTCGGCTTGTCCATGACGCCAAATGCTCTGGGTAAGGTGGAATAAACATAGTATCGTGCTTTCTGAAAATAGAAATTTCTATGAGCCATGTTTTCTGCATCCAGTAGTGTCGTACAAAAGTGATTCTATGTATATTACGTTCCACACTCGGGGATACTATATATAGGTTGACTCATTACACTATGATGTCCGGCATCATCTTGAATCCATTATGATCAAAGTTCAAATAAAATTAAAAACTACTACACGAGTATTGAATTTTGATAGCCTGTTGAAATAATATAATTACTTATGATGCTACTTAGATTGTAATATTTAACTCCAAGGAAAGCGTTACCAGCTGGACTATTTTTAATACTAATAATAAAACAGCCCAACTACTGCTGGTTTAATACCTTTGAGGATGATTTTCAACTTCATTTGTATTATCTACAACTATTAGATCAACACTAATAATAGGTCTTTACCCACGTATGAAATGGTCGTTTTATATGAAAAAATGAAACGATTTTTTTATGAATATTTTATTTGTTTTTATCGTAGTAATCACCCATGCAATCAATGCATCTTTGCCAACGCAGTGGCATTTTATTGATGCCTTATTGATTCTTAATAAAGAAAACAGCTGGACGGTAGGCAACAAATTCTTCAAAGGCATTTCGTACCTCTCGGGTATTAATTTTTTTCCCGCCAAGAAGTTATAAAAATTTTGGAAAATGTACTTACGTCTGAATGCGCAAGGTCTGGTGACTAGGGCGGATGACGGAGAGCTTCCAAACCCAGTTCTTGCAACTTGGAGACCGTCTGCTGTGCAGTATGAGGTCGCGCGTTATCTTGCAAGAACAGCGGAGACGAGCGATTTACAAATGCTGGTTGGAGAAGTGCCAGCTTCTCCATCATTGTGTTTAGTTCTACATAGTACACATCTGCAGTAATGCTCGCCCCGTTTATTAAGACGCTGTGATGAATCACACCGACGCTAGACCACCAAACAGAGCCTGTGCCTATCACTTTCCTAGGGGTATGTTTTAGGGCATTGTTTAGATGCTAAACTGGGATTCAAGCAACTGTCAAGCTTTTTTACCTTTTCAATTTAACGCATTTGCGTATTGGTCCGTTTGGACCAATATTGTTTTGACTATAACCATAAGCCGTAGATTGTGTATCATCAGATTCCACAATCATCATTATTTCGTCATTGTCGACCAAAGTCTTTGGACGACTGCGAGGTTATTTTTTCAGGTTCAAATTTCCAGAAAGGAAGAGAACAAACCAATGATAGGTGATGCGTTGGTTTGTAGTGTTAGTTCCGTAAACGTCGTTGATGTGAGTGCCGCTAGTGCTGCGTTGCTGCCATGACGGTACCTACTCATATTCCACACATACTCGGATTTTTTAAAATTAAATTTCATGTATTAAAACAAAATTGATTTGAAATTAGGATTCTTAGTCAAACAAAAAATAAATTGATTGGAAATGACCACTATTGCAAAACGGCAAATTTATAGGCAAAGGTATTATAAAGAGGAAAGATTTGATTTTTTGTTTGTTTATTTGAGTTGAATAGGCTCCCTAAGTACCAGACAGATTTGGAAAATTATTTTACTGTTGGAATCTTACATTATCCTTGATGAACATAGGCTATTTTCAGTAAGAGATAAAAGGGAACCGTTTGAAAATTGGAATTATCCAATTTATATTAGTAAACCTATGTGAAAAATGTACCTACCAAAAAATCTCCTGCTTACACTGCAGCTTTGCTTACGAGCAAAGTAATTTATTTTATTTATTTATTTATGGATTGGAAAACCAACAGCTACACATAGCAAACAAACAGATAATATAATAACATCAGAAAGCCAATTACAGGTTTTCACGGATAGATTTCACATTATTCAATTAAAGAAACACTCACAGTCCAAACATTACATTTAGGGAGAGACAAAAAAAAGACAAAAAAAAACAACAAGAGCATATACCAACTAAATAAAAACATAAAAAGTGAACACACACCAACCATACTACCAACAATAACAAATTAATAATCAACTAACTTAATTTACTCATCATTTCATCAATTAAAAAACTGTAGGGTGGGCATCCTTCGCACCGCAGAAGTCCGCGTTACAAACGGATCTATTGGATACTCTTTACAAAAGTTATTTAAGTCTCTGCTTGCACGCATAATAAAGAAATTCTGCCTATACCTCGTTGAGGAATTTCGAATTAAAAGTGTAACGAATAGATCTGCATGGGACATTGAAAGAGAGTTTGAACAAGAGATCGGGACAGTCAATATCATTTGAGATGATTTTTAGTAGTGTGGTACAATCCGCTATTCGACGGCGATTAGTAAGGGGCAGAATATGAAACTGCCTACACAATTCTAGATATTTGTCTGAGCTACATGGAACATGAAGTTTAAAGCAAAGAAATTTAATAAAGCGCTGTTGAATTGCCTCCAATCGCTGGATGTATGTACTGTAACAGGGATTCCATATTTGCGATCCATATTCCAAGTGGCTTCTTACATAAGTGCAGTATAAAATCTTGAGCGTTTTTACCTGTTTGAAATCTTTAGAGACCCTCATAATAAAGCCGAGAGCTCTATATGCCTTACCAACTATCTCTACCAAATGTACTAGTCATTAATAAAATAAGCTCTATTCATTTTTACGCACTGATATAACACACCTACTCAGAGGTAAGGACACAGACGCAGATATTTTGTACTGAAACCACGGAGAAAAACTTAATTTTACTCGATGTTACTAGGGTATTTTTCATGCTAAGAATTGTATTTCAGTAAAGAAAACTCAACTTTTTTACTAGTTAATCGCTGGAGTAACCTCTTGTTTTTTAAATCTATAAGTGCACACAATTCACGATCTAAATCACGAAAGGCCACGAGCCCACACGTTCTGATTATTAAATCGATGTCCCGGCCGCGGCAGCTTCAATTAATTATTAACATGCTTTTTATGGGCTAGAGCGACAAGCGATTCGATGAATCATTTCATGGTAAGCATTCGGCGCCGCTTTAAACACGGTTTTTAAGCGGCACCAAATGGCTTGATGAGTTGAAAGTGCGTTACCGGCCTTTTGAAGGGGTTAGGAGAATTGCCAGGCCAGGTGAAAGAACGCAAGAGGTGTTTTACCCTAATTTCTGCGAGTCCTAATTGATGCCACTCCGGAGTCATACTCTTTCATGGTATGATTTGATGTAACAATATATATTTACTACATTGTGTGCAGTTAGTAAACAAAATGTTTTACTGCCATCTATTGGTGACCTTGCAAACGACAATCAGACGAAGCAGCTTTAAAAGTATGCAGGAAAATATACTTAACAGTGACAAAAACGAATTATCTACGAGAGACTAAGGACACAACCGAATCATCTGAACTATATTATTATTGTTAAACTATTAAATATGATTTTTTCTTTTAAGTGTTCCAAATAATTAGTATATTTTTTATTTTAAAAATGTAATATCCATTCCTCCTTTTGTGAAATGTGATGATTAATAATTATATTCAATGTTCCTTTATGTATTGGAGTAACATCTGATTCAAATTACTAATAATATAATGAGTATTATTATTTATGAGTTTCACAGTTTACACAATAGCGCTGCGGCGGTGGCAACTCGTACTATCAGAGGGCGGCGTGGTGGCGGAATCGATCCGCCCCGCCCGGCTACCTCTAGGGCGCACTTCACTCCAATAGTTCCAAACCTTGCTCACTTCATGGCAACCACCTTATGTATGAAACGTAGTATCTATACGCTTTTATTGTTTAGCCACCCCCATTAACAAAACCTGATATCTACCGCTTGGCGGCATAAAGGTCACTAGTCGAAAAGCATAGGGAACGTTGGAATCAGGCCATGTTTTAGTAGATGTTAATCAATTAATTTTCCTGAATTGAAACTTAGTGTTACATATTATAAATTAAATGTCAAGAAGCGCGCTACGAGACATTTTAAGTGCGAATCGTGAACGTTTGTTGTGATCGACTGGATGATTGCGGTAAATTTAAATTTGTTTCTGGATGATTTGGAACAGTTTGTGGTACAGCCTACTAACACAAGACGCGGACTATCTTAGTTAAGTGTTACTGTGTAATGACATATTGTCGTGAATATATATTATAAGTACTTAAAACACAACGGGAACCTAGTGCATTAACTTTTATTGTTACTCGTTTGGTTGGCGGAATAAAGCCTCATCACGTTTCGACACAGCAAATTACGTTATTCTAATCATTTTCCTTCGCGCGGCTCGCCATTAAATATCAGAGGACAGTCAGTAAAGGCAGCGTCATTGAGTCGAATCGAAGCTTCCCCGAGGCTGGCTGCAGGACCGGAGTGCGTCCGAAACGTGGGCGGCGCAGCCGGCGGCGCCGCCGGTGGCGTCCGCCCTGGGTACGGGTATGAGGCGCTCTCAGCGGCGAGTGACGGCAGTGAAGGAGAACTCGACGAAGCACCCGAGTACGCCGCTTTTGAAATGGAACTCTCGGGTGGTGGCGAGTCTATAGAAGGACCATCTTCCCGCGGTTCAACCAAAGTCAATTTTCCACCTGAAGTCGAGTTAGAGAGACGGCCTACAGTCTCGGCAGTGGCAACTGCAGCCTATCATAGGAGTCGCGGACGATCTATGAGTGCCTGGAGCGATATTAGCCGATCCAGTATACGCTTTGAGGAAAGGTCAGTGCAAAAAGTTTACTATTTCCCATGCTTTTCAGAGCAGTTAAACTGATTGTTTGATTTTAACAGTATTAAATTAATATGCTGGTTTGGAGTAGGTTGCACAAAATGCTATGCTGTTTATCCATTCATCTATTTGTAATAACATGCGACAGAGGGAAGTGCGGGAACTGAGGTGTTGTATAGACAGTATTAATAAATAGGTAATAGGTACATGCTTCTTGAAATGAAAATTGATTATCATTAGGACAGGTTACTCTACATTCACTCACCAAATTGTACATATTTTAAACCAAATCAGAGAGCACCTTTAGCATCATTCTTGACGCATTAAGTTTCGGGCCCATTTTGACATGCGCGAAGCAGGCCCTACTTTTGACTGTGAATTCAGATCGAAAAGAGCTTTCGTGCAATAGATGACACCTTGACTTTGATACTTGTATATAAATTAAAATAATCGTGAGATAAACTTTTACATGCTCACTTAGACTATTTGACTTTTAGTTAAAACCAGAACGACAATGATATAAATACGCCGATCGCGATCCTTCCAATTCAATTATTGATGTTTCCATAAAAAGTGGTTATGCTAGTTTAAAGAAAATTACAGAACATTATAGATAGGCGCGCAAAATGCAAAAAAGGTAAGCTTTTGACTGAGTAAATAATTACTATCATAACACTGAATACTTATATAATAATTATATATAATATCAGATATAGAAGTAGGTACTTAAAACATTCGAATTTTAATATGTACCCAAATACATAAAGACATCCACAAATAAAGAAACCGCAACGTTGAGTTCGGGCGCTGAAACGAGAAGAATAGGTCAAGGTCAACCACGACAATTCTATCGTCAATTTTGGGATGCGCAGTAAGATCTCTCTTCGATATACGTATACATACATACATACTTCCCTATACATCAACACACATACACCCTTGTACAGTTTGCGGACACAGTGTTTAGGAATTCAACTTGCGCGTTGTGCCTGGAACCGGGTGGTGGATGAGAAAGATGAATAGGCATTACATTTCTTATAACCAATAACCAGTATTTATTAACTATTGACCCACGTTCCAATTAATTGTTGACCCACGTATTTGACCCCAGTAAATAGATCGGTCAGGTAATAACGTACCTAAAGTCGTGAAACTTTCTTGCTCGTCTCCAAAGTCTTTGAACGGCTCGATAGCATGAAACTTTTGCGGTGATGGCGATGCGTACCTATAGTTAACACGGTGGGGGAATTCACTCGACCCATACGACGATCTGTGCTGTAACGTTGTGCACGTAATGACTCGCTGATGATTGCGGAGGAGCCGTGTTCCTCTCGTTTTGTTAATAATGTCATCACTTCTATGATCTGGTTTGTAGCAACCTAACAAAATTGATCGTCGGTTTTCCAACCGTTTTCTTTTGTGGTGTTGGAGAAGCGAGAGTCGTTTTCTTTTATTCGTTTTCTGTATATTTTGTACTAATTCCTTTTCGGCAACTGTCTTCTTTGGGAGGCTGAAACTGATTAGTAATAAATGATTGTGACCCTCCAGAACTCTTATATACATACTTATTTATTTATTGATGTATTAGAAAACTGATAGCTACACATGACAAACGAATAGTGGCAAAACAACATCAGAAAAGCCAGAGACAGGTTTTCAGGGATAAATATTACAATATTCAATTTGTGATAACAACCACTATGCAACCAAACGCACCCTTTAGAAAAATATATAAAAAATAAATTAAATGATAAGATCACTTACCAACACAATACAAATTAATAATTCACTTAGTTACTTACTGAATTCACTAATAAAATGAAAAACAGTTGGGTAAGCATCCTTCGCACCGCAGAAGTTCTCATTACAAACGGATCTATTGGATAGTTTTGCACAGGTTGTTAAGTCTCTGCTTTCACGTATTATAAAGGGATTCTACCTGTACCTCATTAAGGAATTTTAAATTAATAGTGGAGTATTGTAACGAATAGATCGACATAGGACATTGAAAGAAAGTTGGTGAAAGAGATCGGGACAGTCATGTGAGATCATATCTTGGAATAGAAATGAGATATACAGGGAAATAATAACGTTAAATCAGATGCGTAGAAATCTTTTAATTAACAATAATTTTGCCAAACTAACACGCGCTCGATTGGTCCCCACCGATCGACCGTCTTATGCGCCGACACCGGCATTGCCGCATAAGACGGTCGATTTTAGCTTTTCACTAAAAACTTTCGTCCTAGTGAGGTCAAATATAGATTTTCATCCGGGTTTCCGAATGGAACGACAAATATTTACCTTGATTCACAGGCTGGAAATAAATTATCGATGTTAGCGTAACACAGAAAACGGTCCATGCTTGCAACTAGGGTGGAATATCAGACATTTCGTGCTGAGATTTGTTTATGTGTAGTACAATCATGTGGATATCTCGTCGCTCTATTTATTTTAAATACAGAGTGAGTTATAATAACTCGACGTATTCCTCTTAGGATGTGATATCAAGTTACCGGTAGTAGTAAGTTATGTATACAAATCCTATCTACTGTTTTTGCATTGTTCTGAGCATCGATGTTTGCAAACGTCAAATATTTGTGAAGAAAAAGTTGTGTTTTATCAATTTTAATAACAAAACAAAATTAGGCAACTTATTTTAAGTTCGTCATCTTACCCTACGTGAGAATGTATGTATGTTGGATACTATGTCACAAAAAAGTACAGAACAGAACAGATGGTAATGAAATTGGTACTTAGTAAGATTATAGTCCAAAATGACAAGTTGGGTCCTTTTTATCCTTGTTTAAAATAAAAATAGCTGTTTTGCCGCATTTATCTCGCCACTGGCTGAACGTATTTTGATGCGGTGTTTTGTCACTCTTAGGAGCAGGTTTATTATATTAACCGAGTTTATTATTAACCGACTGGAAAAGACGAGGTTGAAGTTGGTTTTTTTAAACATAGTTACTTGGATATTATTATTATAGAACCATGTTTCAATACAATTTCTCTATCATACACTTTAAGCTTCTAGTGTTGTATGTGAGTTTCTCTGCGAGTTGTTGGATTAATATATTAAGTCCTTAACTTTTTCATCATAATTGGCTATTATAACAAATTATTTTATTATTTTATTTATTTAGGTAATTTGTTATAATTAACGACGAGTTACTGACAACTCGGTTTTACAATACTAGCGTCTTGAGATAAAGTGTCTCGATTTCGTCACGCAAGTGGGTTAACTGCGCAAACGAAGCGAATAAATTCACGCCATGTTAAACATTGCTTAAAAAGCATTTTTTATTTTAGATGTTTAGCTTATAAATGACAATACTCAAAAGTCTCAGGGAAGAAGAAAAAAGAAAACAATATATTTTTCTGCACCAGTCACGATTCACCAAATACACCCAAATAAAAATAAATAAAGACTGACTTCATTCATTCTTTTGGTTTCGCACAAGCAAATTTTCTGTGGAAGGCGATCACTCAGGATGTCATGGATTGTCTTGACTCGTTTAGCATTCAGAAAGTTCGTTAGCTTCTTCTGAAGCGGATGGTTAAATCATTACGATGACTGGGTATTGACTATGTGTACGTAGTATGTTATTTTTATTTTTTTATATATTATTTATGTATTGTATTATACGTGTATTCATACACTATATTTTGCCTGTGACTTCGAACGCATAGAATATTGATTTCCGGCATAATTTCGGATTTTTTGACTTATCGCCTTTTCCAAGGGGTTTTCTACAATGTCGTCCGAACCGTCTAGTACCTTCGTAAGTTATTTTTTATTATGTGATAGAACTAAAGACTAGTACTCGGTCACTGTGGTATCATTGGATAGTTCTTTATATCGTTTATTTATAATGTGAGGTATTCGAACCGTACTCAATGTCTACCTCTAGTTCATCCTATGCACGCCCGTGTAAGACTCTGCAACCGGGTTTGACTGCCGGGTTAGACAATGTACCTATTGTTTGGCTTTTGGGAATCTTCAGTTGTTCCGAGTGACGTGCAGTACAACATAAGTAGCTGGCGATAACTGGTTGTTACATATATATGTATAAAGCTCTAAGATATGTTTTTATGAACTCACAATGTACAGAAAAATTGTTTCGGGTAGGAGATTATACTAAATTTCGATAGCGTGTATCACAATCAGATGTGTATTAGGCTAGGCCTATGACTACATGATAAAAATCACTCTCATGTTCTAGATCCGCGTGGTGTGAAAATGGTTTGCTTTCCTAAAGGTTTTGTCTAGTTTAATTTTGTAGTACATTAATGCGCCTAAAAAGAGCTAAGAATATCATAATATCGTTTTGATATTGACAGCAATATCTATAAAAATTTCAATTTTCAACACTACCAGCAAACATTTCAGTCGAAACTACCAAATGATTGAACTATAATAATACCTCTATATGCTCCAAACTAAATTCGAATAGTAATATCGCACAATTAATCATCGATTTCTATAATGCCCTCGATACATTATTTATCTACTTATGTATTCATACATGTCTCCAACTTGTGATAATATGGTACCCTTAAATGTCCAAGACATCGGTTCACTGAATATTATCCAATTATTATCAGAGAAGCAATCTAAGGCATTTATCAACACTTGAAGTAGTTTGATTCAGGAACTTCAAATTATCGAAGGGTAAATAATTTACACTTAATTATAAATACATACTAGCTACCGCCCGCGGCTTTACTCGCGAAGATTTTGATTATCTGACTAATATTTTTATTTTACGTCAATAACTGAAAAATTTTTTTACTTTCATTACGACGAACTTTCATGCATATTATCCCCATTTTGAACCATTAAGGGCGGTTTTTTTGTTAAATATTTTCTTCTTGGCTGTCTACATAACAAAGTGAATTTACAGACCGCATTTAATGCTTGTTTTGATAGTTTGCGCTCGGTGATGATGAATCATTCAATCAGTACTTGTAAGTAAGGAGATAAATACGG